TGAATCCATCTCTCTGAGGATCCCCCAGACCCAACTGGTCTTTGTAGTCTGCCTGCAACTCATGTTGCTTAGAGCACTGAAGGAAGAACAGAGATGAGAGTTGTAAAGGTAAACCTGTACGATTAGTGAAACAACTTTCCAAAAAGGAACCAATACAACTAACAGAACAGACACTGCCACAGGTTGCCAGAAGATAGTAGAAGCCCCTTCCCAGGAGACACTCAAGGTCAGGCTAGACTAGGACCTGAGCATCCTGACCTAGCTGTAGGTGTCCTTGTTGACTGCAGAGGAATTGTGCTGGATGATGATTAAGCGTCAATTCCAACTCAGAAGATTCTATTATGAAGTTGAACCAAAAAGAGTCAAGAAGACAGAAGGTGAGGTCAGGACTCTGCCATCCTCACCAGCACTTTTACTGGCATGGAGTGTGAATTGCTGCTGCTGCTGCACACTGCCCTGCAGATCATCTCACCCAGCAGAGCAAAGCTCTGTGTGTTCCCCTCCCAAAACAGGTGTTGTGGAGGACCTAATTGAAACATGGACTGGGGATTCCTATGCAAGGAGCCACACCACAGAATCACAGTACATGCCAAGCCAAAAGGGACACACAGGGATCAGTTCCAACTTGCACCACCCAACATTCAAATCCTATGTCTGAGAGCACGGTCCAAATGCTCCTTAGACTCCTGCAAGCCCAGAGCATGACCACTGCCCCAGGAGCCTGGGTCTGACTAGAGCCAGTGGTGACAGACAGAAGGGCCTTGTGCCCCTCTGGGTCCCAGAGCTCTGCTACCCTGACTGGAAGGGCAGCCAAGGGATCTGCCCCTGATCCATGAAGTCCAGTTCTCAAAAAACACAAAAATCCCTTCAATGACTGTTTTGGGCATCCATCTGTAGGTGAACAAGGTTGCACTGAAAATAGTTTCCCAGTGGAAGATCATCCACAGACTTTCTGCCCCTCTTTGCAAGTGCCAAGCGCTGCAGTACCATCAACAATAGTCATTCGGTTGCTTTTTTTAAGGAACAAAGTATAAACGCTTCCAGCAACTGCACTTAATGTTTGATTTTGGGTCCAATTTCCTCTTTGTTTATTAGTAAGCAATTTGTTCGATACCAGGAACATTCATAGATTCCAAAAGACCTCATTCCCGCCTGCATGATGCAGAGCTCAGGGAGCTCTGAGCTAAGGCACAGGGTTTCAGCATTTCTCCAGCCCTATGACAGGCAGAAAGAAAGCCTGTGCACACTTGACAGAGCAGGAAGGAAGGGCACTGATCCAGACTGCTCCCTTTAGCTTCCCTTTTTCAGAAATGGGATCCTGACGGAGACCAGGATTGCCAATTTCTAATGCTTTGACATCTCCTAAAGGTGCAGTCTCCTTGCACATATGCGACTACTTGTTTCCTGTAAAAAGCTTGCCACAAAACATCTTATGGGTATATTTATATTTCCATACAGTACTAGGGCAGGGAGCGAGCCCCAGGCTTCTGACCACCTGCACTACTTAGCTGCTGCCTTGCTCCTAGCTTTCCTTTTGGAGAGCCCCAAGACAGTATCTGGGCACAGAGGTGGGCACGTAGCTCTCTCCTATCACTACACCAGATATTGTGCATATTGACCCTACTTGAGGTTAGGCTCTGTATTTCTTACCCATCCCTCCAGCAGTTTCCAAATAAAATTCCGCAATTTCACTCATTCTGATACCGCAACCCAAATCACCTCATGCATAACCCTGTCGTGGCAGGCTGCAAAACTATCTCACATTTTTTAAAGATTTCCAGAAAAAAGAAAAAGAACACATGATACAATCGTATCTCCAGGTCACAGAGATACCTCCTGGTGACCAGAAAAAGCTCCCCAGGCAGACATGCACTGCAGGCACTCCAAACCACTTGGCCTCCCCCATACCGACAGGTCGAACTTTCAAACTCAGTCTACTGCATAGCATAACGCAAGTAGCTATTTTCTGTAAATACTCCTCTCCAATCACTTGCTGTTCTCAGTTATGTATGTCCTTCAATAGAGGGACTAGATGTTCAAGGTGTCAGATTAGCCACAGTTGGCTTGTCCTGTTTACCTGTCAGAAAATCACCCTGCTTATTGATAAACCACGGGAGATTGTTTTCCTCACTTCTCCCCAGACAGCCATGCCCCATTTGGATTCCACGTATTTCTAAAGCTGCAGATTTTTCTAGGTATTTAGCATGCTGAAAATATTGTCTAAAACTGGATATAAAATCCAGGGACAGAAGTCAATATAAATTAACTTTCTCAGCATCTGCCACTGGCTAGGTCACACATTACCCGACACCTAGTTAGATCCATACATGCTAAATACACACTACCTGTTTTCAGATCTGTCCACCCAAACTGCACTAGAAGTATTGCTGACTTAAAAGAAAGACACTTTCCATTTTCAGATCTTTATTTTATTTGATAAACAGATACACAAGAAGAGCCAGACAACCATAGGGAAAAGTACAACACGGATGGGTGGTACTGAATACTGACACATGAATTGTTTGTTAACAAGGCAAACTCTTCCCTTTACAAAATCAATTGTTAAAATTGGCACCTATGTACCAAGTTTTTGACTTAATGGATCAGGAAGAAGTTGGCTACGGTATATCCATCTTCCTTCCAAAGTATTCAGAAGGAAATGCAGTACTCACCTATCATCACTTTACCTTCCAATAAAACACTGCTGTGAGCACAAGGGCTCTTGGAAAGGGTCTGAGCCAACTTGCTGTTACCAAGGATAGCTGCAGAGAATGTAACAGCAAATATATGCTGAATACTTAACTAAGTGTCAACAGTATATGAATTTAGAAATGCAAAGAGACAGATGTAGTCCAACTCTGAACCTCATCTGAACCGGTGATCCCAAATAACTGCAATGTTTATACAGTCAATGAGGAGCAACTGCAAAGGAAAAAGCTGAAGCTGCATTTTATTATTTTGCAACAATGCCAACATTTTTGCTAAAATCATCCCCTGGGGAAAACGAGGTGACTAATTATACCAGTAATACACCCTCCTCCGATTGGAATCCCTTTTTGAAAAAAACAATTTCCTTAGATCATTTAAGGCATGCAAAGAAGCTGGCCCATCAACTATACTGTCTCAAAGTGCCTTCTACTTCACACATCACAGAAAAAAAATATTGCAAATGCAGTAAGCTACTTCTTGGAAGAGAGATGAATGGACTGCATTTTCTAGTTTACACTGTATCTTATAAGTTGAAAACAGCAGAATAAATTTATTTAAAAAGAAAACAATGAGAAGTGCAAGCTAAAGACATGAAAACCAAACACTAAAAAAAAAAAAAAAAAAACAACAACAACAACAAAAACTTCGGCTCCAGAACTTGTTGGATACGCAGTTCAGATTCCCTCCACATAAATGCTCTGTGCCAAATGGAATTAGCTAAAATTAAACTCCCTTCAAGTAGTCTAATGCAAGTTGATGTAACAACCAATTCATCCCAGCATTGATCAGTGACTGTACAATCTCATTTCAAACACCCCAAAGTGTTGAGAGTTCTTGCCTGGTTGTTCATTCTCAAGAGGATGGAAAATTGCAGTTCCCTGCAATCACATAAAATGGGAAATCTGCTACCCAAAATTACAGGTGCTCTTGAAGATGTGGTACCATGCAAAAGCTCTGCTTGCATTCCATGTACTTGAAGGACATTATGCAATATACTATGATTTCACTGCCCAGCTGTTTATCTCAGCAACTTACAGCCTTTACAAATGCAAATTAAGTCCAAATCATTTCAGTAATTGCAATGTAAAAGGCATCTGAGGCACTCCTGAATTAGCCAGCTCCAGTTCACACACCCACACAGTTCAGCATAGCCTACAAATCCCATTGCAGCACTTTGCCTACCCTGAACTCCACAGTGCCATAACCGGACTACTGTAAATAGCAACATATGCTATGTGCATTATAAATATTAATATGCTTTACTGTACTGCTGTTACACTACAATGCTCCTGTGAAGACAGCTCCTTTAATTGAGCCAATAAGCGTCTATACTGGACTGCATTTACACTAGTGAAGTGATGATCTATAACCAGTTGCTCATCTGTGGCAGAAACAAATACTATTTTCATTTACAAAATGATAAACTAAATCACAATGAAATTAAGTGACTTCCCCACATTCATATAGCAGCAGACAGAGCTATAAATTGAACATAGAAACCCTGGCTTTCCAGCCATTAGTTTTCATTTGCTCAGCACACAACCCCCACAGAACAGTAGGTCTGTATTAATCAATCCAAGGATCTTTTAACAACCCTGCGAATCTCACCACCAATGCCAATTGCTGTAAGCACAGTGGATGACAGAACACTCCTTTCCACTGGGATGGCATTTGCAACTCTGTCCAAGATTCCTGGCAGAAAAAAAAAAAAAAAAAAAAAAAAAAAAAGAAAGAAAGTACTAATTTCCCTTCACTGCCAAGCTGCTTCATGGTCCCAGCATGAAGCCCCATATATGACAACACATTCACTATACAGAAAGAGATTAAGGATAAGTGCAGAAACCTGCAGACTTAGTGTCAGAGATTTAGGAACATAGTACCTTAGTTCAGAATATAAATGCAAATGTTTAACTCTTTGTAAGTGCTCCAAGATGCAAAGAGGAAATTCTGTAGCTTGAGGAAGTCAGATGTGTGACTCAACAGGAACAGAGCACCTGACTTGTCCAGGTGCTTCTGCGACCCCCAGAATGGGTCCACCAGCAGCAGCAGACACCTCAACACTTCTGAAACACAGCCAGCCAGCACAGCTCTTCCCCCAGTCAGCTTTTTCCTAATATGCAGACAGCAGCAAGCATTCAGGGTTCAAAGTACTACTGCATCTTCAGCAGCAGCACAGAGACCCAATACCTAGCTCACATCTTACTTGACAACAGCTCAAAGACTAACGCAAAGAAATACCTTTTCAAATAAGCATAATAATCCCACGGTACCCAAGCTTTCTTTATACTTACAACAGCGTGGTATGAATTCTCATACTAAGGCAACGATGAACAGCCAGAGAAAAATCCCATGAGGAACCAGGAGCGTGTCTGTTCCGAGAGCTAGATGGATTGTTTGTCCTCTGAAGCACCCCGGAGCTGCTCGGTGACGTGGACCTGTCTGCACACACAATCTGCCCTCTACAGCGCCGAGGTGTGTTTGCAGAAATGCTTCTTCAGCGTCAGGCAGCGAGCACACAGAGCGCTGTAACTGCTCGTAAGGGCAGAAGTGCTCTCCCGTAGCGCTGGGCATAGGAGGGGCAGCTCGCCCTCCGCCTGCCACCGCTTCACAACTGCAGGCGTTGATTGAGAAATCAAGTATTTCAAGCTATAGCCTTTGAATTCACCATCCCTCATTCTTGAAAAGCCGGAGGCTCACAGTGCTACAGGAGAGCAAAGCCGCCCAGCAACAGCCCTGCGTTCCGTTAGGAAGCACAAGCCACGGCATATTCAGGAGTTTCCCCACAGACTAACAAGCAGCATTAAGGCGTTGCAGTTATTTGCTCACCCTACTACTCCGTGCACAGCTTCTTTTCTTCCCCTGCCGTCCGCTGGTCTGCTGCAGTCTGCTGGGACAGGGCTCCCTTCCCAGGCTTTCAGCTGCTCACAGGGACAGACCCTAGCACTCCTGGCTTCATTAATGTTAACCAACGCAGTTATCCTAGGAAGAAGCAGTGCTCTGCTCACCAGCGTTATACGCGGGGGCTCCACCAGAACAATGCAGCGGGTACCAGAACACCTTAAAACCACTTAGCAAGGAGGCAATCACTGCCTGAAAAGGACACACCTCTTGCTCTCGTCCTCAAGTGTTGTTTTGGCTAAAACAGGTGTACCTGCATCACCAGCACCACCAGAAAGAAATGAAGGCAGGCAGCACCAACCACCGCATGCAGATTCTTACTGTGCCTCTCCTTACAAGGGCTGGGCAGCAGGAGGAAGCCAGCAAACTTGGTCAAAGAGATTGAACAGCAGTCTCTAAACATCTATTGCTGATAAACCTCAGTGTGAGACGCGCAGCCAGTAAATGTTCCTCCTTCACTTGTTTCTAATCTCCAATTGAGTTTAAAACGTGAAAAGTAAATAATGGCTATTCAGAAGCCACACTTGCAGGAAAGGAACAGGAACATTTGCCATTAAGCATTCTATCAGTCAGGTTGCTGGAAAAAGGAGCAACTTATCTAAAAATAAGTCAATATTGGCCGCATCTAAGCAGTTTCTTCAGTTCCTTACACACATCTGTGAACAGCAAGTGCTTTTATACTGTGCTTGTAGCCCACGCCCCCAGGTCCACAACCACAAGTCAACGTCTGACCTCTATTTAAGCAGATTTACAAGGCAGCAGAGTGAAAGTACTCGCAATCAGCCGCGAGTAAGCACCACCAATGGCGCGCCTCCTTGTGCTCCAATACCAGGGAAGTACCACGCGGACATGGGACGCTTGCCTAGAACTGAAGCTTGTGGACATGCCCCGCTGCTGCGGGAAACCTGCATTTCCCTGAATAGAATCTGCAGTTCCCTCAGGGAACACTCGAAGCTTACTGCTGGCCCTGCAGCCTATGCCTCGCACTGCGCGGCTGAGCGGCGATGCCCGTAGCGCCGCGGGGACGAAGGCTCCGGGCGCTCCGCTACGCGACCCTCTGCAGCCATCGGGAACGAAGCTTTGCTGCCCGAGAGCGGCGCTTCCCAAGTTCCCCACGGGGCACAGACACCCCTCCCGAGCCCTGCCCTACTCGCCGCACGGCCCCATCCTTCCCAGCGGGACGCCCTGCAGCACGGCAGAACCGCGGCACCGCAGCCCGCCCGGAGACGTCCTCACCCCACCTGCCCTGGCCCACCCTCGCCTCATTACCTTGGCAACCGCGCCGCCCTTCCGCCCCTCGCGCCTCCTCAGGGGCGGCGGCGAGACGGGGCCATGGCGCAGCCTCCTCCGGTGGGCTCTTTCTCCGCGCCTCTTCTCCGATGCCCCTTCTCCTCCGGCCGGCAGAGCAGAGAACGGCGGGCACACCGTGCCTGCCGCTCGCTCCCGCCGGGCGGGGCGGCAGGGGCGGATCCGACCCCGTGGCTGTTGCAGCGCCCGCTGCGGGCGGGCCCGCCCGCTCCTCCCCGCCCCGCCCTGCCCTGCCCTGCCCTGCCCTGCCTCGCGAAGTGCAGAGCCAGACCTGGGTCTCCCTCCCCGGAGTGAGAGGAAAGTTCGGCCCCGGCGCTCTGAGGGGGCAGGCAGAGCCAGAGGGGAGTCCCGTTCCGCTTTTCCACTAAAGGCAAATCAATATCGAGTTGTCCCGATGCCGCGGCCTGGTTAAGGACACCTCAAGGACCGTAAGAGGAAAAATCTGCACCTGGTCCAGCTGTGGCTGAGCCGTTGTTCTTAGATGCCCACCTCCAGATGCCCAAAGCCTCAGTGAAGTTTGTCCGCTGGTGGGATGGAGAAAGTAGTGCTGCCTTGTACACGTTTAGCATGGTCTTGATACTTCACTGTCAGCATCACTTATGTTTGGTTGTGTTTTCTTGCTGTTTCCATCGGGCACACTTCATGACCACACAGGGTCTAATTTTACATTGTAGCCGTCTTGCACTCTCACTCGTGTTGTGCTGTGTGGTACAATTGGGTACAGCTCTCCTGGGTTCCTTCAACACTCACAGTGCCCAGCAGCAACCAGGGCTGCTGGCACCAGGGCCCTGCACACCTCCCACAGCCACAACAGCTTCAACAAAACTGCTCTGAAGCACACAGCTCTTGTAAGCAAATCTGTTGCATGGGCAGAAGCCATCACTGTTGGCTGCAGTGAGTTTCTGTGCATTAATTAGATGTGCAGAGGTGCTTGCATGCTTCCTACGGACATGCTCCACCAGTTCCTCCTTTGGATAGGAATCTTGTTCCCTTTCTTTTTCTCCCGAAAGAGAGCTAAGACAACTTTGCTCAGAAGCAACAGCAGTGCCTGCGGTAACCCCACAGACAGATGCTAGAGACACTTCCCCTGCAGGTCCTTCCCCTCCGTGTGCTGTCAGAAAGGCACTGCGGGGCATGGTTCACTAGCTCACTGGCTCTTACAGCACATCACAGTGTGCTGGTTTGGAATTATTAAAATGGGTTAACTCTTATAGGACATTGTGGGGTGCTGTTATTCACACTAAAAGCAGCTCAGCTAGTTATTCATTTACACTAATATTTATTCTGAAAAATGTCATCATTTTTGCCTTATCACAGAGACTGATTTAAATAACCAAAGCACACCTTTTATAAAGCTCTTGTACCTCCTGCTCAAACGTGTAGCTGGGCACATGCTTTCCTTCACAGGTCTGTTGGTCCAGTAACTAAGCCTTACCCTGTGGCACTTCCTCCAAAAGATAGTCATTAAGTGTTAATTATAAGAAAAAATTGAGTTGCTGGCTCAGGCCACAGAACTGGGGCTATTTCCCATGGGCACAGAAGAGGAGTCAGTGCCACTCTCTGGCTGAGCATGTGAGGAAAGCAAAGAGGTTTTCAGAGTTGCTTCAAGTAGGTTCTATTTTTCATAAAATGTTTAACAGTGACCCAGTTTTACTATGGCTTTCACTGTCTTGGTTTTTCTTATCTCCTGTGTCTTAGCCTACATCATTAGAACAACAGAGCCATAGGCTTTACAGACACTGCTGCAGCAGTCTAAGACCTTAGCTGGTGTGTTAATTCCTCTCTCCTATTTTGTTTCAGGCAGCTGCTATGGCACAGTTTCTTGTAGTTTTAAGGAGGCTTTAGCCTATCTTTTTTGTCACATACTGTGGATGTTTTTAAAGTGTTGGTTCAAAGCCCTTTGCTTGTTTCATGATACAGTTTCAAATACCAGACTGTAGCAGTAGTTTTGAATTCCTCAGCTTTTTTAGAGAAAGATCTTTTGCTCTGTAAATATTCAATTAACTTTATCAAATTTATGGTAACACTGACTAGGTTTGAATGTTTATGAGCAGCACAGCCTCATGCTAGCATTCAGCAGGAGCAGGGTATAGGATACTGCTAGATTTGCCCACCTTGCTTCCTCTATTTGGAGTTTCAGGAAGAAAAAAGATTTCTGCATCTTTTCATTGTAATCACTATCCCGTGGAGCAAGCAATGCTTTCACTTTTTCACTTTCTTTCACTGTGCATTATGTAAGGTGGGTATTCTCAGTCGCCATTTCACAGTACCCTTCTGCAATTCTTAGCTGGTCTTTCCAGAAGACTTTTAAGACTTCTGATCCTCTATGGCATATGCTAAGTTCTGTATGGATTAAGCAGAAAAATGCAGCAATTACAAAAATAGGTTATTTCAGCCATTCAGCTTCAAACAAATAAAGTCTGCAGAAAACTGGCACTTCCTTCCACCTCCATCATAGGCCTCTCTGGAAATTCCATCGGTTGCGAGGCAAGCATGAGGAGACTTGCTCCACTGTCCTTTTGCATACCCTTCCCCAGAGGGAAAGCTTGTGCAGGAGGTGCTGCCATGTCTGCCAGATGTCCACGAGTACAAATGCTTTCTCTCCAGGGAGAGCTCTCCCTCAGGATCTCTGCCCACAAGAGGTTGCTTTAATCCATGTTAATGTGTTTTGCAGAAATAGAACTTGTCAGGCTGAAGAAGGCAGGTAGTGTGTACTGGCAGTTTTCAAGCTGTGAGTTAAACAGAGTAAGCCAAATGTGTACATTTAGATCTATAAGGATCTAGAAGAACAAAAACAGAGCCTGTTCCTACCTTTGTGCAAGAGGATTGCAGCTGTCTTTGCAAACATGAAATTTGTGTCAGCTCTGATGCTTCTTAAGTTTTGGGTGATCCTTGACAAACTTCTTGGTGACTTCTTATCATTAGGAAAATTAAATGGTGCATTTCATGTGTGGGAGAACTTGTTCCTTAATTGTAGAGCAATGACAAAACCAAACATACTGAGAAGAAATTTATTATATAAAGTTAAAAACATCAGAATGCCATGAGTAGTGGCCCCCCCTTGCTCATTTTTATCAATAAAGAATACTGTGGAAAAGAAACAGAGTGTATGCAAGTGCACTTGGGACAGCCTGGAAGACCTTGTTTGT